ATGTATGTAGGTATTATCTTTTCAAAAAATAAGTATTTTATAAAGTATGTATGTCGTGATACCCAGTGCGTATGTATTACTTTTATTTAAAAACAAACAAAAACCAGTAATAGAAATCTGGCTCCAGAGAATATGTGGTAGCTCTCTTCTAAATCTATTTATCGTTGCATCAAGGATACTCAGAAAGGACTTAGAACAAGGTAACAGCAGACATGTTAAGTCGTGTCTAATATATAGCCAACTAGGTAAGTAGATCCACAAATCCACAATGTCATTACCAGAGCTGAACATTTGATCTATCTGTTCCCAGTTACTCCCACGTGTGTTGAACTAACCACTGTATCCCAGACACCAAACATGGTATGCCTGGCACATAACAGACAATCAAATATTTCATTGTCTGCCCAACCTACCTGTCCTAACCCGCCTTTATCATATGCCCTACGATGCCAGCACTGCTGCTCCAGTGTCTTTAGTTAAATATTCAGAAGACTCCCTAGGATTTCCACTGCAAGTGAGCACTTCTCAGCAACTCCTCCCTACCATAGGAATTTACCAAAGAGGTATTTTTGTTCATCTATAGAAAGACCTATAAGAAATAAGGTACCCTATGCTTGTGAAAGCTACCCATATTTCCTTTGTATCTATAAGTGTAACACAGCCATATACCACCATTCACACACTCATTCATTCTCCAAAGATGTAACAGATACTGTGTTATTTGCTGCAAGGGGTATAATAATGATTAAGACCCAGATTCTATTCTCCTTCACCTCTAGGATTTTAGAAAACTGTCAGAAGAACATAACTGTTAATAACTATAATAAAAGACAGAAAGTAAAACATGCCAGAAATTTCAATTACAAATGAAATGCTTTGGGAGTTCAGATGAATGCGATGGTTGTTAGCTAAGAAAATTAAAGACAGCTTCATGAAAAATGTTACTTGGAAGAGGACTTTAAGGGTAGGTAGCATTTGGAAATTCACAGACAATAGGAGGCATTTCAGGTTTAGGGCAGGGCATGAGCAAAGAAAAAGTAAAAGGAGCATGTAGAGAACAGCAAGCAGTTGAGACCAACTGAAACAGAAATTACAGGACGGTGCATAGTGGGCAATAAGACTGGGAAAGTTGGTAAGGGCTAGGCTTTGGAAGACTTTCAATACTAGGCAAAGGAATCTAAACTTAGTCTATAGGAATAGGGAGCTAATAAAGATGAACTGGAGAAAGGAACGGAAGATGTCAACGAGAGCAATCAGCTAACAATAGTTCAGTTAGACTATAGAAGAGGGAATAGAAAAGCAAAGGCAGATATCAAATATGGAAGAAGACTAAGCTGGTCTTGGTAACTGACTGGATGTGGGCACAGGAGAAAGAAAATGGTTAAAGACCAAGCTGAGGTTTTGAAGCTGGTCACTAGGAAGATGGTGGCACCTTCTTCAAGTAACTAGGAGCTGATTAAGAAGTGGTAGAGCATGGAAACAAAAGAGTACGGGCTCAGGAATCAGATTATCTAGATTCAAATTCTGCCTCTACTATTAGTAGTTGTGTGACCCTGAGCAAATTATTTAACCTAAGTCCCAGTTCCCTCATCTAGAAAATGCAAGAAGTAGAATCCACCTAGGGAGGTTGCTTTTGAAAAAAACTGATGCTAGGTCCCATGTCAGAAATTTCTGATGCATTAATAGTCTCAAGCATCTATATTCTCAAAAAGCCTCCCAGGTGATTTGGATGTGTACCCATGATTGAGACCCTAAAGCGTAACTTGCAAACCATGTCCCCTTAATTAATGGGTAGTAGAGCTAATGTTCATGCAGAAAGGTTTAAACAGCAGTCAGTATACAAAGTCAGCAGCATCTAGACCTCAGACACCAAGAGACCTGCCTAACCACTTTGGCCCAATTTTGTTAATAGTCATTCGTGAAGAATGGGACTGTCAGAAAAGCTAAAAACACTACTTTGGAAAATCCTCCTGAATGGGGTTTTAGGAGCAGCCTGAAAAGCAAGTGGAAACCATGACATGCACACAGAAAGGACCAATGAAGAAGCATGAACTCTGCCAAAGAAGTCAAGGCTAAAAGCATGACTTAGCGACATTCTTCAAGTGGCTCTTCTCTCGCTCCATTAGGGGCAAGGGGATATAGATAGAAATGGAGATTAAAGAGCACTATTAAAATGAATTCACCAAAAAAGTTAGGCTAATAGTGCAGGGAAGGAATGACAATGGCTCCAGCAGGAAGGTCTGCTGGAACAAGGCCATCTTGGCTAGATGATTTAAGGTGGACTCCTGCTGATGACAGTGGCGTAGGTGAGATGACCCTGAGGTTCCTCTATTCCCAGCTGGAAAGGGTAGAGGCTCCTGTCGTCCCAGCAACCCCGCCCCCCAAGTTCTCTGGGACCCACCTTTAAACTCCATGTTGGCAGCATCCTCCAGCAGCTGCTCCTTCATGGTGTTCAGCGTCTCAACAATCATGTCCTTCATTTCCTCCTGCTTTCGGTTGGCAATATTCATCAGGGATTCATACAACTCATTCTCCATTTTCCGCGTATATTCCAGGCGTTTGGGAGTAATCTGCAGGTCCCGCTGCATGTCAAAGGCCTGGTTAATACAGATGTCGAGGCAGCAGCAATGCACCAGGTTCAGGGCCCTGGCTGCGTCCACCAGGCGAGCCTGAAGCACCTGGTGACAAAAGGTGCTCAAGTGTCTTAATTTCTCACTTTGTTCCACCAACATGCTCTGAGCCTTAGGGTCCTGGCCGGGGGCCCCCCAGTTACAGTGACTGATGCTCAGATAGCCCAGGTCAATTAGCTGGCGATGAAGTGGCGATCTTTCACTCTCCATTCTTCTGGTAGAGGAGTCAATTATCTCTGAGCCCAGCTTCGGCACTTTGAAAAAGAATATGGGAAAGGAGAAATACTTTCGGATTTCCTGAAGCTCTCGCTCCTCCGTCTCAGACAGTTCATCTTTGTGAAGTGCATAGGTTATCACAGGCAAGAAATCAGTCACCAAGTCACCCAGGACATCCACTGTGGGCCGGAGGCCTTGCCATGGTGCCACCACAATGTCCACTTCCTGGAAGGGGAAGGGGGTCATATCAGCACTTCAGGGTCAGAACCAATCCTTGCCTCCCCCAAGTCCCACACTGAGACCAAAATCCAGATCTATGATGGGGCAACTGGACTCTGATATCCCCCAATCATTTGCCCACCTTAGCTACCAATATTGCCTGGGGCAGCCCATGCAGGCGGGCACTCATCTAGAGTGAAAAACCAAATGTGGAAACGGCAGCCCCTTCAGCCGTTTCAGATAAAAAGAATATTTAGTCCCTGCCTTCCTTTGTTGCTTGGAAACGCCCACTGATTCTCTCTGCTTAAGAAATAAGACAAATAATGGAAGAACTGTTATGGAAATTACCAGACTAAGAGTGAGTCTGTCTGGAACATTTCTCCCACTCTTGACTCATCTCCCACCCCATCCTCACCTTTCTAGCCTGGGCTACTCTCAAGCATCCTTTAAATCTCGACGTGTATGTCATGTTATACCCTTACAGAGTCTTTCCTACTACACGATACCAAGAACTCTCTACTTCTCCTTTTCTTAATGTGCAACACATTTGTAATTTATTTATTTAAAACCCATTTTCCCCATTAGCCAGTAAACTCTTTAAGGGCAGGGGCCATGTCTGTCTTGTTCATGACTGTAACTACAGTGCCTAGCAGTATTGTTGAATCAATCAATCAACAGCAAACTGAAAGCCAGGTTTGCCAAATATTATTCCTGTCTTATTCTAAGAGTGTGCAGGTATCCCAAAGTCTTAGCGTAATAACCTTCATTCTCATGATCACTTGGTATGGCAGAGACTAAGGTTTGCCTAGCCAATATTTATCCTCTGCTTATTGGGAAGGCAACGTCCTTTACAGACAGACAAGGGTGGCCAGGAAAGCTCTTCAGATTTGATTCTACCAAGGAGTGTGCACTTCGGCCTTGACCCGCTTGCCTGGAGCACAGATGTGACATCTAGAACAGCGGTGGTCGTCCAGCAGCCGTAAGGCAAACCTCAGGGTGGAAGCCAGAACTAGGGACGCTGAAGCAGAAAGAAATAGGGAACCCGATGACCACGAAGCTGCCACACTAGCCCTCAAATGCCTAACTTCAGACTTTTTAAATGAGGAAAGAAAAAATTAAGATGTGTCTTGTTTAAGCAAGCCCCTGCTTTCCTCATTGTCATTTACATAAGATTGAACCCAATCATAACTGATATACACAGGTTCCTAAAGCGCGTTTCAAGAATGATCTTTGGTTTAGAAACAAGTATTCTACAGGCCCTTTTCCCAGCCAGTAGTTTCTGCTTTGTGTTCGACTTCTTTCCTGAGGATCCTGAGCACTAAAGAGCATATATTTCCATCCACTGCACCTGCTGCTGCTCTGTATGTCTGAAATTATATACTGCGCCTGGCATTCCAGACCTAAGGGGTGACCTGGAGATTTCTCGCCTGTATCACCACTGTAGGCACACCAACTCCCAATGTCTTCAGGAGTCTGCAAACTCAAAATCAATCCTCCACAAAATTCTAGCACATTTTTGTTATAAAGGAACTCAACACAAACCTACAAGAGTTTGTGTCCTTAACAGTTAACAGGTGTTGAAATTTTACTTTCTTTAAAATCTAAAAGATATACAATTTGTTTATTTTCTTTCAGATTAACATTGTTTGCATTCCTTACCTTAGTTGAGCAACACGTATTTCTGATGAAAGATTTTTAAAAATCAAATCCTAGGACCTGTTCCTTTTTTATCTCCTTCTCTAGATAAAGTAGGGAAGGACTGAAAATGCCGCCTATTGTTTCTCATAGGGGTGTGTGTGCGTGTGTGTGCGCGCGCGCGCGTGCGTGCGTGCGTGCGTGCGTGCGTGCGTGTGTGTGTGTGTATGTGTATGTGGTCTCTCCCATTCCCAACAAAGCACAAAGGTCTCACCTTCTTCATCAACAAAGCACTAGTAAGTTTTATGCTCAGGTAGTTCACATAAGTGTCATTTGGCTGGCCACTTTGAACCCCCTGAGGCTAAAAGTGCTTTTTCAACTCACCATTTGTATGTAAGCAAACACTGCATAAATCCTCCTATTTTCCATCCAACCCCAGGCCATGAAGAAATTTGCTGTTTCATCTGTGCCTTGAATTGCATGGAATGCTTTCTGATTGGAAGGCCAGTTTGACACTCTTCCTGCTGTTCAAAACAAACCTGCTTTCACTACCCTGAGTCACACTACTAGAGGATGAATCACTTCATGAGGCATATTCAAAAAGC